AAAAAAAAAAAACTAGCTCGTCTGTGCGAACCCCGGTCAATCCAGGCAAGGAAGCAAAGAACTATGTGGCCTTTCCTGCATGGACTGCACCCCGAGGAACCCCACAGCAGGTGAGGGTGTCATGTGACGAAGGTACTGAGCTAACCATTGACCAAGGAGGGACAGCACTCGAGAATTCCACTTGGTGACCCCTAACAAATCAGTGGGTCCAGGCTCCGGGTATCAGGAACCTGCTATAATCACCAAAAAAGAGAGGGAGCGTGCAGCTGACGACACAGCCGGCCCGACAGGCACAGCGCTCCTGCTGAGAGAGTCACACCTGAGTACGACCAAACGATCGCGACCTGACCGCCCGCTTCCGAGGGGGACTGAAGACAGAGGCGCGCACGGGTATAGCGCGGGGGGCTCGGAGGGACGCGGGACGGACTTTCTTCCACAGATAGGCAGCGAGCGGAAGGACGAGGCGGAGAGGGAGCTTAGGGGCCAGAGGGCACGGAGGGCGCATCAACCGACAGCCTGGTGTACACAGGATCCGCCTCTCAGCTCAAACAGACCATAACAGCGGGACTTTGAGGACTCTGCCAGAAACATGAGCACTGGCTGGATTGTAATAGTCAAGATGACGGTCAATTTGGGGAGGAAGCGCGACATGGTTACAAGAATAAAAAATGTGATCATGAGAATTAAAAAAGCCACCTTTACCAAAGAGGACATCCAGATGGCCAACAGACACATGAAACGATGCTCAGCGTCCCTCATCAGGGAAATACAGATCAAAACCACACTGAGATACCACCTCACGCTGGTCAGAGTGGCTAAAATGAGCAAATCAGGAGACTTTAGATGCTGGCGAGGATGTGGAGAAATGGGCACCCTCCTACACCGTTGGTGGGAATGAAAACTGGTACAGCCCCTCCGGAAAAAACAGTGTGAAGGTTTCTCAAAAAATTAACAGTAGAACTCCCCTAGGACCCAGCAATAACACTGTTAGGAATTTACCCAAGGGATACAGGAGTGCTGATGCATAGGGGCACATGGACCCCAATGTTCATAGCAGCGCTCTCAACAATAGCCAAAACATGGAAAGAGCCTAAGTGTCCATCAACGGAAGAATGGATCAAGAAGATGTGGTTTATCTATATGATGGAATATTACATGGCAATGAGAAAGAATGAAATCTGGCCATGTGTAGCAACATGGATGGAACTTGAGGGTGTTATGCTAAGTGAAATAAGTCAGGCAGAGAAGGACAGATACATATGTTTTCACTCAGAAGTGGAACAGGAGAAACTTAACAGAGGATCAGGGGGGAGGGGAAGGGGAAAAAAAAGTGGGGGAGAGGGAGGGAAGCAAACCATGAGAGACTCTTGAATACTGAGAATAAACTGAGGACTGTTAGGGGAAGGGGAGAGGGGAAGGGGGTGATGGGCATGGAGGAGGTCACTTGTGGGAATGAGCACTGGGTGTTATATGGAAACCGACTTGACAATAAACTGTGAAAGAAAAAAAAAAGCCACCTTTAAGAGACTCCTACTGAAATATCTATGGACAAAATCAAATGCTATTGGGGATCTGCTTTGAAATAGGAAGGGTCGGGGCATGGGGTGGGGTACGGGGTTCAGGAGCACCACGAGGTGATGGCCGGTAAAGGTGGGGATGATGAGCACCATCGGGCTCGTTATACAACTCTGCCTTCTTCGGGGTACGCGTACTACCTGCCACAATAAATTCTTTAACAGAAGATAAAAATAAAACACTGGCCCGTGAAGCCTCAGAGGGCGAGATCCTATTTAAGTCCAAACCAAACTACAGAGAATTGTGGGTGCCTGCAGGGCGCACTAACTGCCCCCCCAAACCCAAGCGGCAAGCTCAGCCTGGAGACGGTAAGTTGGGGGGAGGGGGTAAGAAGGGTAATGTGAATCACTTTGGAAGAGAAAGCTTGCTTTTACTTCATTTTGAAGAGAAAACAGAGGAGTAAAGATTGTAAAGTGAGAAAGAAAGAAAAAAACCTAGGAGAATCAAGTAATGAAGGGAAATAAATGAAAGAGAGAGAGCGAGAGAGAGGCAGCGGAAAGGCAGGGCGAGAGAGAACAGCGGGATGAGGAGCCCATGCGTGTGGGCGGGGGCCGACCGGGAGCAGCAGCCCTTACCCCAGACGTCAGACTTGATGGAGAACTTGTTGTAGGCCAGGCTCTCCGGCGCCGTCCACTTGATGGGGAACTTGGCCCCGGCGTGGGCTGTGTACGTGTCCCCCGTCATTAACCTGCTCAGGCCGAAATCAGCCACCTTCACCAAGTGGTTCTCCCCTACTAGGCAGTTCCGGGCAGCGAGGTCTCTGGGGAAAAGGAGACAGTTCATCCGTGAGAGCTGTGGCCAGCGTTCCCGGCTCTGCGAATGCAGTGACACGGGGCGAAGGCGCCCTCCCGACGATGGCGTCCAGCCTCTCCGGCAACCTGTGTCTTGGCATCCGCCACAGAGAGAGGCGGTAGAGGGTGGGCGGGAGCAAGTTCATGACCCTGGGCCTCAGTGACCGCACCCACAACATGAAGAGGGGAGCAGCAGCGCCTGCTTCGTAGGCTTGTTGTGAGCGGTCGCGACTTAATACCGGAAGCGCCGTAACGCCTGCCTGCCTATCCGCAGGCACCTAAGGCTCTGCTCAGTGAGGACGGCTCTCCGCAGGCACGGGGAACAAAGGCACCAGCCAGTCCTCAACTGGGAGAAGCTTCCATCGGAGGAAGCCCCCATGTGGCCCATCCAGACTGGACAGAGGACAATATAAAGCCCAGAGCGTCCCGCCCCCAAAACTGTGTTTTCCTATTTTCCTCTTTCCTCCTGATGCGTATCTGAACACATCCTAAAGATTCTTGTCTGTATAATCAGCTTCCTCTCGCCTCCTGAGTCTCCCAGGGAGCTGGGAGTCTAATCTCTGGTTCATGGATGTTAACCATGAAATCACAAGGCAAAATGGGGACAGGGGGATGGAAGAGGCAGCACCTTCAGGCGATGGTGGCGTAAGATGGCCTGATCATCAGCGATCAGAGAAATTAAACACAGAAGGGACTCGAAGACTCATGCCTAATAGGATTCTGGTAAAGCGCGTTAAGCCTGTGAAATGGAGAGGGAACGGGCGTAGCCACGCAGAGCGAACCAGAAGTCAAGAAATCTCAATTTGCAGCCTGAGAGGCTTCACCTTTTGAGTGACAGGAGGGTCTGAAATCAGGCTCCCGTGCAGCTCAGGAAATCGGTCTTACAAGAAAGCGCCCACGTCTCACACTCTCTCCTCTCGTTCTTCACTATGAAATCGCATGTACGGGTCTCCTACCTGAGCTAATTGGGGTAGGAAAGTTGACGGCAGTGGCGCAGAGAACATCGTGTATGAAAGACACCGGCAGAGCCCATTGGCCTCTGTCCTGTGCGGGCTGTCACTTTGCTGGGAAGCCATTTCCACCGGCCAAGAATGTGGACACCGAGATAATTACGGCACGCTTGAAGGTCAAAACCCTCCAGGCTTTAAACCAGCAAAGACGCTGAATTCCGAACCACACCGACGCGGTTCTGACAGTCGTGGGCACGTCCCTGAACCAGAGGACGGCAAGTTAAGTGGAGAAGGGAATAAGGGGGGGGCGGGGGGGGGCAGAGAACAGGCCACTCGACAACAAAAGCCACGTGCTGCTTGTACCCACGGGTCTGCGGAAGCGCGACAGCGGCCTCCCTGCACAGGAGGCCACTCCTGAGGATGGCGAGCACTCTGCCTCCCTGAGGAGCACGGGTTCTCAGCCGGAAGCCTCTGAGGAGCCTCACTTAATATTCCACTTAGTCCAAGATGGTTCAGAGGGAAGTCTTTCCTATAGCGGGGGATCCACTGCCTGGTGGGCCTGGGGCCCAGGCCTGCAGCTCAAAGGGCCGTCAGCACTGCTGCGAGGGGCTGAGCCCTCAGAGCTTGGGGGCTGGAGCTTTGGGGGGAAGGCAGCCCGGGGCCCCACGAGGAGGCTGAGTCGCCAGGCCCCTACCTGTGGATGAAGTTTTTCTTCTCCAGGTACTCCATGGCTGACGAGATCTGCGTGGCCATGTACAGCAGCACCACAGCGTTCACCTCCTGCCGGTTACATTCCCTCAGGTAATCCAACAGGTTCCCATAGGTCATGAACTCAGTGATTATATAGAACGGGGGCTCCCGGGTGCACACCCCTGCCGACAAGACAGACATTGAGGACTTCGGCAGGCCCCTCTGCTCCCGCCTGCGCAATCGCCAGGACAGCACCACGGAGAAGGGCCCCCGAGGGGCACCTGGGTGGCTCAGGCAGTTTGGTGTCCAATTTCGGCTCAGGTCGCGATCACGCGGCTCCCGAGTTCGAGCCCCGCGTCGGGCTCTGTGCTGGCAGCTCAGAGCCTGGAGCCTGCTTCCGATTCCGTGTCTCCCTTTCTTTCTGCCCCTCCCCTGCTTGTGTTCTGTGTCCCTCTCTCAAAAATAAACAAACACAAAAAAAAAAAAAATTTTTTTTTAAAGAAAGAAAAGGGCCCCCGAAATGCATTCTGTGTCTGCCCCAAAGTCTAGCACGGTTTCAAGCACTTGTGGCTTGTGACCAGGTTCCTGTGGGAAGGATGTGACCACACTCTTTCTTCCTCTCGAGCCCTTGAACTCGAACAGAAGAGGACGCCACCAAGTTCAGAAGCAAAGGTCAGGTGCACATCAACCAGCCCAGGTTCCTCCCAAGTGGTGACATCGGCTCATGGGATAATTGCAGTGAAGGGACGCTTGAAAATTCTGGTCTCAGGGTGCCTGGGGAGCTCAGTGGGTTGAGTGTCGGACTTCAGCTCAGGTCATGATCTCGTGTTCATGAGTTCGAGCCCCGCAATGGGCTCTGTGAGGACAGCTCGGAGCCTGGAGCCTGCCTCCAATTCTGCATCTCTCTCTCTCTCTCTGCCCTTTCCCCACTCATGCTTTGTCTCTGTCTCACTCAAAAATAAACTTTAAAAAAAATTAAAGAGGGGTGCCTGGGTGGCTTAGTCGGTTAAGCGTCCAACTTTCACTTAGGTCATGATCTCGCGATTCATGGGTTCGAGCCCCGCGTCGGGCTCTGTGCTGACTGCCAGCTCAGAGCCTGGAGCATGTTTCAGTCTGTGACTCCCTCTCTCTCTCACCCTCCCCTGCTCACGCTGTCTCTCTCTCTCTCCTAGAAATAAATAAAAAACATTTAAAAGACAAAAATTAAAGAAAAGAAAAAAAATTCTGGTCTCAGAGGCCATCTGAGTTTGCACTGGACCGCTTCTGGGAGTCCGTCTACCGCAAGAACCTCTTCCATCACACGCACACACCATCCCACACAGGCCTCCTTTTTACCACGGGCTGCACAGCGAGACCTTCGGCTCCATCTGTAACCGTACCCGCAGCGCCCCCCAGAGGCCATGATGGAGGGGCCCTGTCTTCAGAGCTCTCACTCACCGAGCAACTGCACGAGGTTAGGGTGCTTGATCTCCTTCATCACTGCAGCTTCCTTCAAGAACTCCTCCACCTCCATGGTGTCCTCCTGTGGGGGTAAAAGGGATGCAGTCGTCTCAGCAAAGCAAGTGTTTAAGTGGGAAAGTGTGGCTTGAGGGGTTAACACGCACCGGGACTTTGACCAACCACCACCCGGGGCCGCCAGCTCCAACCCGCGCACTGCCCTGGCCAGGTTCCCTGCAGTGGATCATCGCCCCAGCGGCGTGAAGAATTCTTCCCTTTGATGGGGCGCCTGGGTGGCTCAGTTGGTGAGGCGTCCAACTTCAGCTCAGGTCATTATCTCACAGCCATGGGTTCAAGCCTCGCATCAGGCTCTGTGATGACAGCTTGGAGCCGGAAGCCTGAGTCAGATTCTGTGTCTCCCTCTCTCTCTGCCCCTCCCCTTCTCATGTTGTCTCTCTCAAAAATAAACATTAAAAAAAAAAAAAAAGAATTTTCCCCTTTGGTGTTGAACTTGGGAATTCTCACCCAGGGCAATAAATGTGTGTTGGCAACTTGCTTCTGGGGGCTGCTGTGCAGAGGACAGTTCTAGTTCCCTAAAGAAGAGCTGGTTTCCAAGGAGTCCTGAAACACTTGACATTAAAAAAAAATCACCTGAAGAATCAGAAATGCACCCAACTTACTGGAAGAGACTCTGATGACAGAAGGATAGCATCTCACCAAAGAAGACCACCACCTCAATATACGTGGTACCACAGAGGATTCCCAAAATGCAGGAATGTGTGTGTGGGGGGGTCCTCAACGAAGCAATCACCACTATCTACTGGGTCGATTTACTCGGGTTCTAAAATAATCCTCCCTAGTACATCCCCCGCCCCCCCAACCACGGATTCACGAGTATCGTCAGAGAGGTCATATTCTAGCAAGTCTGCCATATCTAAACACCATGCGGAGACAAAGGGTAATAGCAAACGCCCAGAGCCAACGTGATGCTATTTCCACATCTCACGTGCTCTGTGCTGGGGGGGTAGGGGGTGGGATGCTCAACTTGAGGGCCGTGCGCCTGGCCCCGCACGCCACAGTCGCCTTGCTGTGTAACCACGTGTGGCCCGCGTCAGGTAAACCTCTTTCTGACCTAAAGAGCCTGCTGTCCTCTAACCACCGCGACCGGAAGCCAGTGGGTGGTGAATGGTCTGGCCTGTCTGCACAAGAGCCTGGTGACCAAAGCCAGCGAGAGAGGAAGGAGCCCACCCTCCGAGAGAGAGAGAAACTGCATGGCAGATGGGGAGTGGACGCCTGAAAAACGCGACTCGCCCAGGGGGAAAGCTTTTTCAAGCTTCTTTTTTCTTTTTTTTTAAATTTTATTTATTTCTAGGAGAGAGAGAGAGAGAGAGAGCGTGAGCAGGGGAGGGTCAGAGAGAGAGGGAGACACAGACTCTGAAACAGGCTCCAGGCTCTGAGCTGGCAGTCAGCACAGAGCCCGACGCGGGGCTCGAACCCACGAACCGCGAGATCATGACCTAAGCGAAAGTCGGACGCTTAACCGACTAAGCCACCCAGGCGCCCCTCAAGCTTATTTTCAAGGTGGAAGCTTCTATGTTTCACCTGCCCCCGCGGGAGACAAAGCGCCCAAGGGTCCTGCCTGCAGCCTCCCCATGGCCGCGCCGTTCCTGCCCCCGCTCCTGGGGAAGAACCGCATGCAGAGGACAGGTCCACCTCCACTGCGCGAATCCTGCTGCGGCGCATCGTGTTCACAAGCGGAGCATGACCACCGGGGATGCGCGGCCGCCACCATCACTCAGCCTGAAGCTCAGACGCGATTTACTGCTCTTGAGAAACAGTGAGCTGCTCTCATGTCAATCAGACCTCGCCGGCAGCCTCCGCGTCAAGGTGCACGGGGGACAAGAAGCCATCCCTGCTGCCGCTCCAGCGGCTATTCGGTTCTTGGGGGTCCTCTCTGCTTCTTAAAGTGCTCGGCGGACCACGCCGTTTGTGTGTGGCGTGTGCTCTGACCTCGGTGACATGCTGATGTCAACAGCTGGGAAGCCAACGCCTACTGGAATGGGGGCGTCAATGCTGGTCACGTAAGGACCAGGGGCTTCGAGAACCTGGCCTGGCCAAGCGGAGGTTCAAGACGCAGCTCTCCAATAGAGCTTTCTGGACAAGTGGCGCTTTCCTTTTTCGAAGCACCGCATGATGAAGCCCGCACAGTGAGACCATTTCAGAAAGATCGGGGGCTCTGACCGCTCCTGACCCTTTTCTAAAAGAACTACGCTCCGGACCTTGCGAGGCGGGGACGTGCAAAAGCAACAGTTAGGCTTTCAAAGGCGCCCCCCTCCTCTCTGTCCGCCTCCCCACTTATTCCTACACACGCACGCACACGGGTGGACGGTGTAAATAATTCCTTGTTTTTCTCTGTCAGGACAGTCGGCGTGAACTTGTCTCCCCCTGCTGGAATCAGCCTCGTTCAATTTTTAACCGCCGCTGCCTGCAGCCTTCTACTCCCGTAGCTGCGTGTGACGGGAGACCACCGTTACATTCCTTTCTTTCCATTTAAGAATTTTCCACCATTTTTTAAAAACGTTTTTTTATTCCACAGAGAGAGACAAAGACAGAATCTGAGCAGAGGAAGGGCAGAGAGAGAGGGAGACACAGAATCCGAAACAGGCTCCAGGCTCTGAGCTGTCAGCACAGAGCCAGATGCGGGGCTTGAACTCACAAATCGTGAGATCATGACCTAAGCCGAAGTCGGATGCTTAATCGACTGAGTCCCCCAGGTGCCCCTCCATCATCTTTTTGAAGAGACACCTTCCACTGACGGAGTAAAATGAAACATGACAGATAATTAGGGTGAAAGCACCACTGAGTGAACACAAAAGCCTGGCCAGGGGGCGGGGCCGGGGGGGGGAGTTAAGAGGACGGCTTCGGATTCACAGAGACGAAGTCTCGCTGCTGTGTGACCATGTACAACGCTCAGCCATTCACACGCCAGAGAAGAGTGGTTTCTCTGAACAAGTCCCCTATCTACACCCCAGGAGAAGAGCCACACGTGCCTGCCGTGCAGAGCCCCGAGGCTGTGTCCGGACGCAGGCCGCACTCGGCCGGCGGGACCCCCTCTTACTGTAACGGGCACGGTGGAGACGCAGGCCGAGCACAGTGCTCGTGGGGAAGACAGGTCTTTAGTTGGTACAGCTCCGTGTCTTCGGTTTCGCCTTGGTCACAGGCCTGCGTTGTCCACACCCAGCACTTCGCGTGCTTCCTAACCAGCTTCACCCTTCCTGCTCCCTGGCCTCGCCCCCAAGGGGAGGTTTGCTCCAGCAGAACAGAGAGCGGCGTCTGTTAAAATGGCTTCCTGTCCCACTGGTGCCTCCCCGAGTCTCAGTGGGGACAGAGGCCCTGGGGGAGGGGCCGAGAGAGGTCAGTTTCCACCTCGGTCCCTGGTTCTCAACCAAGTGTTAGGTGGGCAAGGTCACAACCCCAGTGAAGCAGCATCCCGCAGCCGCCGGGGTCAGGGCTGCGGAGCGAGGGCCGGGGCGCCGGGGCTGCGGAGCCGGGGTTGGGGGGCCGGGGCTGCAGCTGGGGCTATGGAGCTGCAGATCTGGGACTCTGGAGCCACGGCTGAGGAGCCAGGGCTGAGCTTCTGAGCCACACTGGGGACGCTGGGGACGGTGGTTCACCTGCCAGATTCACAGAAACACAGAACCCTCAGAACTCGGGTCCTCGGTCCACAGGCGCATCTAGCTCATGGCCAGAACGGAGCCCACTGCGAGAGCGAGTGACAGCGGGTGCTGGGTCCCCAGCCTCTCTCCCTGATGCACCCCCCACCCCCACCAGAAGTCATACAGCCAGAGCGCGGGACTGTCCCGTGCCAGCCTGGAGCCCGCCCTTCCCTGCTCATTCCTGCAGCTTCTCTAGCGGAACCAACTGCCTGGGGGGAAAACACAACAAACAAACCCAAACCCAAACAGACCGTGTTGGCCAGAGCAGGGGGAACGGGGACTGCTCTCCACGCGGCTGGCTGAGCGCAAACTGGTATTGGGACAGTCCCCATCCGTCCAACTGGGAGAGTGCCTGGGACACGGTCCGTAACGGCAAGTGGTGGAAAGGACACAAATGCCCACTGAAGGCTGCTAGACACTGAGATACATCCATGTGAAAGCAAGACCCTGTACGTAGAGCTGATGAGGGACAAGTGACAAGACACAGGGAGGGGACACCAGCAGGTCCAGAGCCGCGTGCACAGCAGGCCGCCGCACGGTCAGAAGAGACCCCACACGTGGACTTGTTCTGGAAGGGCACAAAAATCCAGGGTCGAGGATACTGTGTGCATACGTTACCAAAACACGTAAAGAATTAAGCCTGAACATTTTTCAACGCTGTTATTTTCCATTATTTTAATGGTACGTTTGTCAGAAGCTTAGGAGCCAATCCTAATGCCATACTAGATGGATAGCCGTCTTTCCGAAATTCTAGGACTTACAGAATTGTCTCACAGAAAAAAACAAAATGGACTTGTAAACAAACTTCCGGAACACAGTTCATCTGAAATGTGGGACTTCCCTGTACTCGACAGTTGGCTGTCTTAGGCACATCCCACCTTGAGCACTGATCACACACAGGAAAGGTTAAGCCCAGGACCTGCTGAGTAATGAACGTCACAACTCAAACTAGCAGTTCTCAGGTCGGTGGCCTTTGCTGTAATTTCCGTTTCCCACCCATAGGGGTCAGCTTAGTGCCCTCCTCGTTCCCGTTCTCTTCTGATCTCAGGCCCTGAAGGTACAGGACCCAGCGCTGCCTGGTGGGTCAATACAGAGTCCGGGTTAAAGCAGGGCCCGCTGCTTCAAGAGGATCTGCCTCTGCCCTCTGAGGAGCCAGAGACACAGAAAAGGCAGGAGGGGACCTGGGAAGAGGGTGGTGGAGAGCAGACTGAGACTCAGGTGCCCAGCTGGGTTCTGGGACAAAGAGCTACAAGGGCTTTCTGGGGTTCCTGAAGAGGAAGGTGGGTCCAGCTGCCATAGGGGAAGTGAACGGGGGATGGGAGAGAGGGGGATGGGGAAAGAGGGGGTGTCCAGGACGCATGGCTGTGGTTCGCATATTTTTCAAGGCGTGTGAGGAGGAAGACCTAGAGTGACAGGGAAAGAAGAATGGAGCTGGGCTTTGGGGCAGGATGTCTGGGCCGGAGCCCTGGGTCCACAGCTCCCCACCGGGTAACCCCGGGCCAGTTATCTGGCCGCCTGCCCTGGACTTCCCTCAAGCCAGAAACGGCAGTGATAGGTGGGCCCTTCCCTCACAAGGTGCTTGTGAGACGCTACACGTGGAACAGAGCACTCAGACTGCAGGCATGAAGTAAGAGCTCAATAAACAGTAGCCATTACTGTCATTTAGAACCCACTTAAGGTTCCCGATCTCTCCAGTGGAGAGAAATGCCCCAAGTAGTGCTATGGATCTTACTGGATGTGCAAGAACCTTACGGTAGAGATGTGCCTTGTGCAGAGGTGAGGAAGAAGGGATCATTTATTTAGCGGTTGCTCGGTACTGTATTTTGGGTTGGCACACATCTCTAGAAAGTGATGCCTTCCCTTTCCCCTAATTAGCTATCACCTGGGGTGACGACTCCCAGAAATCCATGCAACTAGATTCTGTACTTCTTTTATTTATTTTTATTTTTTTACCAACTGTGAGGCTGTAACTTAATAAGGCTCTTGGGGAAAACCATTACAAGTATAATGAAAAGTTTAGCAGTAGCTCATTAGAAAAGTAGATTCTAGAAGGCACCTGACTTCCAGATGAGTCAGATTCACTGGTTCAAGAAGCCACCACTGCCGGAGGACTCCAAGGGGATCCGTGTCGGCAGCAGCTCGGGAAGCAAGGCCATGGCCTCGGCTACACTTCCAGCTGCGTGCGCGCTCCTCTTTCTAAAATTTTCAAACAAGCCTTGGGGGGGGGGGGGGAGCGATTCTGTGCTCTTGTTCCTGTTTGTTGCACTTCTGCAAATACTGGCAAGCATGTTGTGGGTAAATGCCTGGGCCTTCAACCATTTCTCGAGCTGGTCGAGTCCTGGGGGCCGGCCCGGTCTTGAGTCCTGGGCCAAATCGGGACACTGAGCACAGGAGCACGCCTCTCCCTGGACTCGCTGGGTCTGGGCGGGGGAGGGGGAGTGTCGCAGCGGCTGCCTGGGTTTCTAAGGGGCTTGCCGGCATAGCTGCCTTGGTGAGCCGCAAACCCCATCAGCTCATTCCCACGCATCCTGCCCTTCAGCGCGCCCCACTGCCGCCAGGACGTCCCGGCTCCTTGGCCTCTGTAACTTACCGTGGGCTCCGCTCCGCCGTACTGGTGCCCACCCACCTCACGCCTTCTCCCCGCCGCGTGGAGCTCACCGGTCCCCCTGCATCCCTGGGCGGTGCGAGGGCGCCTCGCCCCTGCCTCCAATCGGACGGTCACACCACACGGCAGCTCCCCTGGTTGCTGGGGTCTCCTCCTCACTCCGCTGCTCCACCTACCTGGCTGGCCCGAGGGCCACAACTCTGTTCTCACAACCCCAGGCCTAAGCACGGGGTCTGGCACGCAGATGTGAGGGACTCCACAAACGCGTATGAAGTTGTTAAAAAAATCGCGCCTGGAAAGTTTCCTCAAGGCACCCCAGACCACGCTACTAGCCCCCTGCCCCCAACATACAAGCATCGGTCCTGCCCCGATGACTGAACAAAGGGGCCACATTCCATACGAGCGCCAGGAGCCACCCTCGTTTCCTAGAACCGTAGAATGGGACTCCTTCTCTGATCCATCACTTCACAGCAGCCGTAATGTCCACTGTGCTGAGCCTCTGAGCACAGGCAGCTGGTAAGGGACAGAGGCCCTGAAAGGCAAGTGGCCTGGCTGCACGGGGCTCCAAGCGCGCGCCTGACGGACTCCAGAGAAGCGCATGCACGCCTGGGTCCCCTTCCCCCAGCCCAGAGGAGGCTTCTGTTCTTTTCCTCGTCTAACGTCTAACAGCTACAGCAGGGCCTCCTCTCAGCCTCGCTGCAAGCTGTTGGGGTAATCAGTTCATTAACGGCAGGTGCAAATAGCACAGGCCGACACTAGGGGACGCTCTGGCCACAGAGAAACGCTCAGATCACCATCCAAAGGCAGAGGGCTCTGGATGACACCCGCTACTTGGCCTCCTCAAGATGTCAAAGAACTTCAAACCCCGCCCAGAAACTACACCCCCCTCCCACCCACGTCAGCGGAGAGGGCGGGAGAAGGATGGCACGGTACCCGGTACCCGAATGAAAAGCCCTGACCGACGTTCCCTCCGCACCTCCGCACACTCCCATTTGCGCAAGTCGGGACTCACACGACACGAACCAGAACCTGCCAGGAACCCCCAAGGCACCTGCCTTTCAGATCTGCCAACAGACGTCCACGGGGGAGTCCGGTGCAGTTTCGTTAAATCCCCTTCTCTCAAAACTCAGTGTCTCCCCCTTCCTTCTCCAGATTCTCAATAGGAAGTGATTCAAATGCCACACAGACAGAACGGAAACCCGCGGGTTTAAGATTCTTGCCACAGAACGACAAGACTTCTCCAATGACTAATCTTTTTACACCAGAAGCCACAGCGCGTCTGGGCGCTCACCCCACGTGCAGGCCCGGCGTCGGGGCCGGGGGCTGAGCCCGCAGAAGAGGTCGACCTGGGCCTGCGGGGGCCCTTCCCAGGCCTGAGGGCAGGGGGCAGGCCCCCCAGGGACAGCGCCGCCACCGCACTGCCCACCAGCAATGACGAACCGCACGGCCGTGCCGAGCCTACCTTCAAGGTCTTCACGGCCACCGTGAGGCTATACTTCTTCCAGACGCCCTCGTACACCTCCCCGTACTGGCCTCCTCCCAGCTTGTGCTTCATGGTGATGTCCGTGCGCTCCATCTCCCACTTGTCGTAGTTGGGGGACACGCCGTAGACCGTGGGCTTGTTGCGCTTGGGGGCCGGGTAATGGAGAGTGGTGATGAGCCCGTCCGCCACAGTCGAGTGATGGTGAACCAGCTCCGCTAAAGTGTTGAAGCGACTCTCCGAGGAGACGTAGAGCTGGGGGAGACAGGACAGCACAGCCTTCAGCCCACGGGGCACACGCAAACCCAGACAACGCCACTGAGGCAGCTCTGCTGAGCCTAAGGGAGTGTCCTGAACACCACTGAGACTATGTTGCTCTACACATCCTGTAATTTACTTGCCGAAGCAGAAAGATACAACCAAATGCCTCAGGGCCTTTGCACCTGCTGCTCCCTCTGCCTGAAATCCTCCAATTAATCATCACATGCCTGGTCCTCCCTTAGCATTCCGAGCCCAGGGTAAATATCACTGTCACCGTGTCACCGAACCTGGTCAGCAGCCAGCAATGCTCATCAAACCACCTTCCTTCCTTCTCTGCATTGTACTCACTGCTAGCTGATGGGTCCCTGCATATCTGCTGGATTGCTTCCTGTCTGTCAACACCTTCTAGAATGTCAGCTTCTTGAGAGCAAAGCCCTAAGTGGTCTTTTTTTATCCCGGATCCCCAGTGTGAAGAACAAGAAATGAGCACATAGTAGACATTCAATAAAGGACTATTGATTATATTAATGAAGAGAACTTAGTATTTGCAGATTGAAAAAGTAATTAAAAAAAATTTTAACGTTTATTTATTTTTGAGAGAGCATGAGCGGGAGAGGGGCAGAGAGACAGGAAGACAGAATCTGAAGCAGGCTGCAGGCTCCAAGCTGTCAGCACAGAGACCGACGTGGGGCTCGAACCCACGAACCGTGAGATCATGACCAGAGCCAAAGTCAGACGCTTAACCTACTGGGCCACCCAGGCGCCCCAAGAAAGTAATCTTTTTAAATAATCATACTTATTACCTACAGCCTATAATTATTATTTATAGTTATATAATTATGCAGAAGTAAACGGTGACCAGAGATGGAAATCGCTAAACAAAACTTAAAAAATCTCTCTTTCTTACTCCCTCAATCTGGGCTGAGGACCATCAGAGGCCAAGGCTTGCAAACCGCAGCTGGAAGCCACCGTGGGTGCCCTGTCAGCTCGCTCTAGGAATGGATCGGGGGCCCGGACGGCTGCACAAAGGCCACACAGCCTCCTCCGCCGCGGGGAAGGAAAGAGAGGGGATTGCACACACGAGCACACACGAGCCTCTAAGATCCGCTGTGGACCCGTCCACGTGTGGTTCTTGTCTGAACACACGGAGGAGGGAGGAGAAGAAAGAGCAGGCTGACAGCAAGGAGCGAATGGATGGGGACAGTGATCGTTTTTTTTTTTTTCCTCTTTGTTCTTTTCAGGGAGAGGGGGAACACGGGCTTGAAACAGTGGTGATGCCTGGGGCAGGAAGGGGGAAAAGGAACAGGTTGGGTCACCAGTAGCTGCAGGGTCTCAATTACTTAAAAAAAGGAAAGGGGGGTGGGGGGCAGGGCGGAAACAGAAAAAGGAAGAAAAAGCCTGAAACGCGGCAGCCCAAGGCGTTGGCTGTCGGTTATGGGAGGAGGCTCCACCACCTTCTATAAGCTTGTACAATATTTTCAAAGAAGAAAATGTTAACGAATACACGAATCGATGCCATTTACAACGCTCAAGAGGGTAAACAGGATTCTTTCTTGCTTGGAGGATGACACAAACAGATTTTTAGAACTCAGGCAAGCCAATGGCCAATGCTGACTTAGAGGTTTGTAATTTACAAGTTTAATTTTCTATATTTAACAGGAAATTGACAGAGACGGAGAAACAGAGCGGAGCGCAAGTGGGGGGGGGGGGGCAAGAGAGAGGGACACACAGAATCCGATGCAGCTCCAGACTCCGAGCTGTCAGCACAGAGCCCGACGCAGGGCTCGAACCCATGAATTGTGAGATCATGACCTGAGCCGAAGTCAGACGCTTACCTGACTGAGCCCCCAGAGCCCCTGTAATTTACCACAGTTTGGGTGCAATCCTAGTGAAATAAAATTCTTCAGCAACCCAAGAATTGTCAAGAAAGACCCTATAGCTCTGGGGAATTTGTCCCTCCTGCAAGGTGGTGCCCCTCCAAGGCAGGACCTTTCAGGGTAAGGGGGAGGCCCCACCCAGGAGAACCTGAGCTCTAGGGACGTGGGAGGAGTCGTGCTCAGGGCCCAGAAGGTGCGCACGAAGGGGCTGGGAGGAGGTGGGTACTCTCGTCATTGCGCAGCACCCAGTGGGATGCGGGGACAGCCCCTAATCCCGCCCCTCTCTGGAAATGCCCATCAGCTGTCCAATCACCTCACTGCAGGTGCCAAGCTTCCCAAGCCTTCCTCTTTCGGGGCTGCCATGGAGTGTAGACAAGAGGGAAGAAGTGCTCCCTGGAATCCAACCCCTCCCCCCCCCCAGGACAGCACTGGCACAGTACGGGGCAGAAGAGCCCGTCCCACCTGCTGCCCTCCCCACCCAGCAGGGGGTGGGGGGGAGTCACCTGGGAGCAAGGCCAATTACCTACTTCTCCCCGCAGCTTGCAAGGAGCGCGCTCTGACCCAAGGATCCAGTTCCTTCTGTTGCACAGAATGCTAATGCGCCCCCCCCCGCCCAGCCCTCGTCTGTGCAGAATTCGTTCTCGGTTCCCTCTGATTCCCTCACAGGCTCTTCCTGGTAGAGATTTCGGAGCTATGGGAGGTTTCCCTGCACGGACCCACTTTATCCTTTTCAGTAAGTAAATTTACAGACTCTGTGACTTAGTTCATCTTTCGGTGTAAAACTTACATCCTGACGCTTATTAAATATTAAAACTATTCTCCCTGTTCAGCTCACGGCACGACCACCTCCTAACGGTCAAGTCTGGTGGTGTCCTGATTGGTTCTGAGTTTCGCGCATTTTGCTAGTGAACCGGGGGGTCTGCATCAGGAATTCACGGCCCGGTCAGAGAAGACCGTGGAATTAGGCTTAGGAACCGTGTGTCATTCTGCTATGCACCAGATTACAAAACAGTCCCCATGCTCTGCTGGGGCTGGGCCTCCCCTTGATTGTGCAGGACCCTCAAGGCAGCACTTGAAACTCCCCAGAAACAGCCTTTCCTCCTGACAGCCAGATGGCCAGGCTTATCAGCGCGTAGACCTGCGCCCCCTTTAGCTGCCGCGGAGCCCGGAGTCCCAGGGACAGGCAGCCTGGCCGGTAAGCGACATGACCCTGAGATCTTCCGTCGTCCAGCAGGAAGGCAGGACTCAGTAATTAAGCAGTACTTAGTAACACCGCAAGTCTCCTCGGCCAGGGAAAGTCAGCCGCGTGTTAGCAGGCCTTTCCCTGGCAAGCCTGTACCCGACAAGCCACGGTGGCGGCGGGGGGGAAGAAGGTCTTCAAAACTCAGGAGGCTGTGTAGTTGGCTTGTCCTGTCACCTCTGCTAAAGCTTAAGCCCAAATTCCATTCCCGTCAACCTGAACCTGTCAGTTCGGTGGACAGTGAAAATCAATGTCACCTGGGAACCTCTGTGAAGAAAAGGGAAGACTCTATCGAGGGCTACGGGGAACTGTGGAGCCTGACAGCGGCGTCCCACAGAAGCAAATACAGTGCAGACACAGAGGACGAGAAGAGCTAAAAATGATTCAGGCAGCGGGGGGTGGAGAGGAATCAGACTTTAACTCCACGGCGCTGGCCGGGGACTTGGAGAGCGACACTCAGACCCCGGGGCACGTAGAGGTCTCGATGTCGAGCCTCCTGAGCGGCGATGGCTCGGTTTGGCACAGCCCGTGGAGAGTCCCGCTCTCGAAGCTCCCGAGCCCCGGGCCCGACCGGCCGGCCACAGCCACCGTCGAAGCTCAGGAACATGAAAAGGGCAGCAGGCCAAGGCCAGGAGGGCGGAGGCAGAAAAGAACTCTTCTGGGGCCTGAGAGGGAGTCTTCCATGCTCAGTTGTTTTGTGAAGATGAGCTCTTTGAAAAGAGGAATGAAACTTCTGCAACCTCAGCCCGTCCCTCCTACCAACCTTCAATTTTCCCCTCGGAAATCCAGAAAGGATTGCATCAAGGCAATGCTATGTGAGCTTTTTTTCTGGGCCGAGCCACACGATGCCTCCCCCGCTACCTCTGACGCTGTTCGCTCACTCCAGGAACATGATCCCACCCCACACGGCCCCTCGAGGGCAGGCCTCACGGAGAGGCGCCTCTGCAGATGGCCGGCCCGATAACCCCGTGGGCTGAGCCGTCTCCAGGTGCTCAGACGGCTGGAGGGATGGTCTTTGCAGGGAGGGAGGGAGGGAGGGGGGACGGCAGGAGGCCTAGGACACTTGCATGAGGTGCCCAGTGGCGGATGCTGCCTGATCGAATGAGTTCCCCGAGCTCCACCCGGAATGGAAGGAGCTCCTGGCACACGTCGGCCTTTGGACTGAGGGGTTGGCGTCCTCATCCTTCGCCTCTCAAATCCTGTGAATCATGTAAGCCACATGCAGGCCTTGCTCTCTCCCTTCTGAACGGTATTTTGGGCCAACCACCGGCTAATGAGTTGTCAAACTAGATCACGCCGGCCCGCATCTGTCCCTAGGATGCCTGATTAAACACCTCCAGGGAGGAGAAACCCGTGCCCCGCTCAGCACACACCTCAACGATCGCTGCTGGATAAACAGCACAGATGGGAAGCAAGCTGGCAGCTGCAGATGCCCTCCCTCCCATGTGGGGTGCCCTGGTCTTCTAGGAGCCCCTGCGGTCTGGAGGCAAGGTTTCAAGGGGCCCACCGCCCTGCAACACACCCTGCAGAAGGGAAGGACCCAGCTCCACATGCTTGTAGAAAGGCAAGCCCCTACACTTCTATACAAGCCTCTGCCATCGCAGAGAACACCAGGTATCAGCAGCAAGGACTTCGGCCAGAAGCCTCCGAGACGTGTGGGAAAAGACAGCAGAGAAGAACGTGAAAGAGAGAAACACGTGCATTCATGCAGTACAAACGAACGGGTGAGGACAGCCATAAAAATGCTAAGAGGACTGGTGGGGGGGGCAGCCCTACCTCACACGGAAACATATTCTACAGCTGGAGCAAGTTTAAGTCTGGTGTGGGAAGAGAACAAGCAGCGGATCAACAGGCCCAAATGCATATGCAAATTTGGTCTATTTCAAGAATGTAGGGAAAGATACATTCAGTAAAGGGCCGGGATCCCTCAAAACCTGACGCGTGTACATTACACATAACAAGATCGGTGACGGAGGTTTCAACAACACTGCGGATGAGGGGGAGGGACACGGCCTCCTACGTTTCTCACAGAGGCTGCACGTCCACCAGAAGGCCCACCTCTGCGGGACGGACTCGGACAATATCACCACCAATGTCAAAGGCACAGAACCTTCAAGCACTTCCAGCAACCTACCTCGCACACACACCCGACACAAAGGACGGGCCATATGCTCAAACTGCGGGTTGGGACCCACTAGGGGGTCTATGAAATAAATTTAGGGGATTCTGGCCAGAACTTTAAAAAAAAAAACAAACAGAACAGAACAAAATACAAAATATCAAGAGTGTGTTACCTACGGTGAGGGTAAGTAGGATCTCAAGAACCTTCTATGACCGGTCTGAGTACTGGCTGGTGCTGTAAATGTTTTCATACAGTGTGCCAGTGTTATTTTATTTTAAAGGCTTGAAAGCCACCTCGTAAGTGTTATTTGTGACAACCAAAGATTGGAAACCACCTAAAAATCAACCCGCGGGGTCTGCTTCCGTAAATGATGGCCCATCCGCACGAAGCAGCTCTAAATGCGCTACACTAAAGCAATCTTCAAAAAATATTACCAGGTGGGAAAAGCAAGATGCAGACCCGTGTGGAGTTTGCATCATTTGTGTTTCTTAAAAAATATAAACATATACATGTACTGGGGAGCTCGGAAAGAGACAGGTCACGGGGGTTGACCCTGGGCAGGGACACGGAATTAGAAGACAGAATTATTTCTCACTCTAATTCATTCTGTTTTTTTTTTTTTTAAACCATGTGCACACATTACATACCATTTAAAAAACACATTCCCCATCTAGACCCAGCCCGATAATCTGCTATCTCTGCCCTCCACACTGGCAAAGTGTAGCAGGGCATATACAGCAGAGCCCAAGCCTAGTTCCAACGATCGCATACTATGTGGTCCCTGGGCAAGAAATTTCCTCCCTCTTAAGTCCCCATCTCCTTAATGCAAAAATGCTACAGCAACCTCGGCCTGAGGTGAGGATTAAATGAGAGGAGACTGAAAAACACACCGGCCAACGGCAGGAAGCCGGAAAATACCAACCCCTCCCTTCCCTTCATGGACTCTTAAGCATTATTCATAGAAAGATCACAAAACCATATATATATCAACTCTTCTGTAAAACTAGAAATCGGGAGGGGCCCAACTCTTGGTTTTGGCTCAGGTCACGATCTCACGGTTCATGGGACCGAGCCCCGCATCGAGCTCTGCACTGGCAGCGAGGAGCCTGCTTGGGATTCTCTCTCCCTCCCTCCCTCCCTGCCCCTCTCATGCGGTCTCTGTCTCCCTCAAAATAGATAAACTTAAAACAAAACAAAAACCAGGGGCGCCTGGGTGGCTCAGTTAGTTAAGCGTCCCACTTCGGCTTAGGTCATGCTCTCTCTGTTCATGAGTTCCACCCTCCGCATCGGGCTCTGTGCTGACAGCTCAGGGCCTGGATCCTGCTTCGGATTCTGTGTCTCTCTCTCTGTCTGCCCCTCCCCTGCTCGCACGCTGTCTCTCTCTCTCTCTCCTAGAAATAAATAAAAAACATTAAAAAATCTGTGTGTGTGCGTACATACATGCACATGGACACACGAGCATGATTTTATCTATAGGAAGAACGTCATGTACTTATTTGGAGGAGGTACTATTAAGGGGCCTTTCAACTTAAAAGTACCCATCAATTATTGCAACTTCACCCACTGGAGACAAATTACTATGACAAGAGATTTTTTAAAAAGGAAGAGACCTGGGGCGCCTGGGTGGCTCAGTTGGTTAGGCGTCCGACTTTGGCTCAGGTCATGATCTCACAGTCCATGGGTGCGAGCCCCGCGTCGGGCTCTGTGCTGACAGCTCAGAGCCTGGAGCCTGTTTTGGATTTTGTGTCTCCCTCCCTCTCTGCCCTCTCCTGCTCGCTCTCCGTCTCTCTCAACATAAAGACATAAAAAAATGGGAAAAAAAAAAAAAAAAGAGAGAGAGAGACTTAATATCTTCTAAGAAGTGTGTCCAAACACCAACAGGTATTCCCCATCTTACGCAACAGCTAACGACAAACAAACCCCCCACCCCGCAGGATGGGCAGCGGGGGGGGGGGGGGCCCACACACAGGCCCGAGGACTTGTATCATCACGTGATCGGTCCTCAACAGACCATCTTGCAGAGGCTAATGGAACGATGCCTGCTGTTTACTTGGAGAGGTCATCTGCCAGCATCTTCCTGGGTAAGCTCTGCTGCGATGACTTCTTAACCCCAGTGGCAGGAGCTCTGGGCCCTGCTGGCCAAGGACAAACCACCCTCCCCTCCCTGCCCCCGGCCCCTCAGCACCCCCACTCTGGGGCCCCTACCTTGCCATCGGAAGCAGTGTTGATCCGGTAGTGATACACCCTCCCCTCGTATCGCAGCGAGATGGACCTCTGGCCGGGGCTGCTCTCGCTCTCCCGCACCAAGAAGCTGCCGTTGATCCCGCTGCTCAGCAGGTACTCGGCGGCATTGCGGGACACGGGCCCGTGGTACCAGGAGTGCTTCTCCAGGCTGTTGACCGGCGTGATGTAGTTGCTGGGCACCCAGCCCTGGCCATTTTTGGTCTGGGCTTCACACCACTCCCCGTTGTGATTGTAGCCTAAAACCCGGAGCTTTTCACCTAGAGGAGGAGGGGACCAAACCAGACATTGGCTTCAAACGCTGGCTTGTGCTCAGCCCTGTTCACGCCTACAGGATCACGAAAGATCTCCAACTTCCTAACCGTCTACGTCACTTCAACAAATCCGCACCAGCATCTGTGTTTACGTGTATCCAGGAGGCTGCGCATGGATACGTGAAGCCTCCTGCGTACGCTGAGTCTGCAGAGAATTCCACAGCCTCGGTTTCCACAGATGCCTGATGTGTCCTCAGGTGTTCAATCCCAGCGGAAGGAAGTTTCTTGGGGGAAAAAGTACTTTTTGCGGTGTGTGGCCTGTGCGTCCCTTTCACTACGGAACAGAGGATGCTGTTTTTCTAAAGACTTCTCGTATGGGAGCTCTTCTTTAGGAAGAATGGCTCTCTTATACCGATGCTGGGCTTTTTTTTTGGACCTCCCTGCACCCGACTTTAAAGCTGCTCTTTCGGGGCGCCTGGGCGGCTCAGTCAGTTAAGCGTCCGGCTTCGGCTCAAGTCACAATCTCACAGTTCATGGGTTCGAGCCCCGCGTCGGGCTCTGTGCTGACAGCTCAGAGCCTGGAGCCTGCTTCAGTCTGTGTCTCCCTCCCTCTCTGACCCTCCCCTGCTCACGCTGCCTCTCTCTCTCTCAGAAATAAATAAAACATTAAAAAAAATTTAAAAATGCTCTTTCAAGCCATGGTTTCCCCCTGATTTCTGTCTCCTGCAGCCCCCACCAGCCCTGCAACCCTTTTACCTTTAGTGATGCTTAGGGTATTGTCCCCACTGGCCACAAAATCATACAGCGCAACAAAAAGGTTGGGGTCATTTTCACTGGGACCAGCGAGAAGGTTTTCCTTGGAGTTCCAACGAGCTGCTTCGCTCAGACCCTGGGGCTCAAAGTCAGATGCTACTGGCCTCTGAAGGGCTTCTGGAAGAGAAAAGAAGAAAGGAAGAAGTGGGGGCGGGGGGATTCGTTTTAGTCTCAGAAGCAAAAACAGTCTGTTTCCATCACTATACGTTTCTAATTTATTTCTTTTTTTTTTTTTTAATATTTTTATTTATTTCTAGGAGAGAGAGAGAGACAGCGTGAGCAGGGGAGGGTCAGAGAGAGAGGGAGTCACAGACTGAAACAGGCTCCAGGCTCCGAGCTGGCAGTCAGCACAGAGCCAGACGCGGGGCTCGAACCCACGAACCGCGAGATCATGACCTAAGCGAAAGTCGGACGCTTAACCGACTAAGCCACCCAGGCGCCCCTCATTTCTTAACATCGACACGCGTTTTGTATGAATACGAAAGGTGGTATAATAAAAATGTGGATTCTTCCTTCCCCAAATCTTGTGAAAAGCATCAAGCATTTTCCTCCCAAAGTGATTACTGTTCCTAAATAGCTTCAGCTTTTTACACTCACTAATTCAAAATGAACTCAGTTAAAAACGGGAAATAGTCCAGGGCACCTGGGTGGCTCAGTTGGTTAAGCATCTGACTCTTGGTTTCAGCTCTGGTCATGATCTCCCGGTTCATGGGTTCGGGTCCCATGTCAGGCTCTGTGCTGACAGTGCAGAGCCTGCTTGGGACTCTCTCTCTCTGCCCCTCCACCCCACGTCTCTCTCATTCTCAAAATAAATAAATAAATAAAACTTAACAAAACAGGGGCACCTGGGTGGCTCAGTCAGTTAAGTGTCCAGCTTCGGCCCAGGTCGCAATCTCATAGCTTGTGAGTTCGAGCCCCACGTCGGGCTCAGTGCTGACAGATCAGAGCCTGGAGTCCGCTTCAGATTCTGTGTCTCCCTCTCTCTCTGCCCTTTCTCTGCTCATCCTCTGACTCTCTCAAAAATAAACATGAAAAAATTAAAAAAAAAAACAAAAACACAAACGTGTAGCTATTGTTCACTATAGGATCAAACAGTTCATTATTTTTTCCTGAAGTTTCCTTTTTTTTCTTGAACTATGCTCAAATTTGCTAGAATTTCTCTGTGATATGCGGGAGAATTTTTTTTAAGCTAACAAATCTACTCCAAGTGGATCTTAATAGTCATAGGATATTATGGATTGAAATCTGAATACTCATTTAAGGAAACTATAATAAGAAATCAACCTTTATAAAAGGAGGGAAAGGGGAAAATTCTGATTTTCCTATAGGAAGCCAAACCGAAACGGCAAGAAAATTATTTAGGGGCACCTGACTGGCTTAGTTAGTGAAATGTGCGACTCTTAATCTTGGGGTTGTGAGTTCAAGCCCCATGTTGGGTGTGGAGGTTAGTTAAAAAATACAATTCTTAAAATAACGATAAAAAGAAATTCCCTCTTTATAGATTTGGAGGACCCCGCCCCCAACATCCTTGCTTGGTCAGTAGCCCTCATTTCAGGAATGGGCCTGACTCTGCCAGTATTCACTCCCCAAAACAAAAACAAAAACACACCACTGGAGGCATCCAAGACATATGAGGGACAAGGCTAACCTTCCAGAAACACCACTGGAGAAGTTTCAAAAGTGGTCTTTAAACTATCTCACTGGGGGCACGTGTCTCAGTGGTTCAGCTGGTTCAACATTCGACTTCAGCTCAGGTCATGATCTCACAGTTCATGGGTTCGAGCCTTGCATTGGGCTCTGTGCTGACAGCTTGGAGCCTGCAGCCTGCTTCAGATTCTGTGTCTCCCTCTCTCTGCTCTCTCTGCTCATGCTCTCTCACTCTCGCTCCCAAAAATAAACGAACATAAAAACAAACAAAAACCTCGCTGGAATGACCTGATACAACATTAAAAAAATGAGGGTCTTTTGATGCTAGCTTTTCATACTCCTGATTGAAGTAAACCTCCAGGAATTCTTTTGCCTGAAGAGTAAATCCCAAATTATGTCATTACTATGTTTGCTCATCTCATTTTATGAATCATGAGGGCAAAGATAATTTCAGGGAAGAGGGTCCTGTAACACAGCCGTTTACTAGAAGGGAGTTAAGGCCTGGGTGACAGGTCAGGCCCCCACTCTCTCGAGGATTCACAGGGCTCTAAAAGCACGCCCAGGGGCGCCTGGGGGCTCAGTCGGTTGAGCACCCAACTTTGGCTCAGGTCATGATCTCATGATTCGTGGGTTCGAGCCCTGCTTCGGGCTCTGTGCTGACAGCTCAGAGCCTGGAGCCTGTTTCAGATTCTGTGTCTCCCTCTCTCTCTGACCCTCCCCTGCTCATGCTGCCTCTCTCTCTCAGAAATAAATAAAACATTAAAAAAAAAAAAAAAAAAGCATGCCCAGCACCATTGCAATCCAGGATTGATCAATTAACCGAAAGAAGCTGGTTACTAGGATAAAAATTTTTTTTTCCGTAAACATGTATGTTCTCCCACCCCCACCTGAATGTATGTTGGTCTGCTGGCCTTGACCCTGCAGGGACAAGGCCTGTCCTTTCCAAGGTGGGCATGTGCAAGAGCTTATTCCCGGCTTCAGTTTGCTGCCGGCCCAGGGGGGACATGGGAGCCATGTGCCATCAACTGGCTTCCAATTGGCTCACTCACACCTGGTCGGCAGCACCGTGTAAGATCACCTGCCTTTCCTGAGTCTGTCTAAGGCATCCATCTGAATTTCACAGAAACAACTCTCTTCTTACAACGGCATTTCACGGGTTTATTAATCAAGTAATTAAAACAACAAGTGTATCTGACATAAAGAGATCTGGAAAGAAACATAAGGGGCTCTTGGTGTGGCTGGAGCAGTAAGCGGCAATGGACAGTGGTGGGGTAGCTGCCCCAGACTGAGGGTCCCTGGCACTGGGGAGGCAGGCATTACAGGAAGTAGAGCATCATGGTCAACCCAAGGAGTCGGCAAGTCGGTTGAGTGGAAGCGAGTCAAAAGAGCTTCTACTGTGGTTTTATATATATATAACTATATATACAACTATATAACAGTTATATATGTAACTGTTTTATTTATTGAGAGAGACAGAGAGAGACAGAGAGAGAGGGAGAGACAGAGAGAGAGAGACAGAGAAAGAGAGACAGAGACAGAGCATGAGTGGGGGAGGGGCAGAAAGAGAAGGAGACACAGAATTGGAACCAGGCTCCAGACTCTGAGCTGTCAGCACGGAGCCCGATGCAGGGCTCTAACTCGTGAACTACAAGATCATGACCTGAGCTGAAGTCAGACACTTAACCGAATGAGCTCCCCAGGCGCCCCTACTATGGTTATATTAAGTAACACCATTAGCCTAGGATTCTTACCAAGACAGAGCTCTTGGGGAGGGATGGGGGGGGGGGCAGAAATGGACCAAAGCATGAGTAAGCAATTCACAGAAGATTTAAATTACCATTAAACTTGGGAAGCAGGTGAGGCCTGGCTAATAATCAAAGAAATGCCAATTCCTCATCAAATTGGCAGGTCCATTTTCTCGAGGCTAAGTCAGTGTAAGGCTTCAATGAACGGAACTCTCGAGCAATGCTAGTGGCTGCTTTAGGAACTGCTATACACTTTAGGAGGGCAACTTGGAAATACAAATAGAACCTTTGATTTACCTCTAGGAATTATCCTGAGATCAACCCAATTATCTCTATATACTGATTTTTTAGTATACAGAATTTCTATATGCTGATACTTTTTGAGAGATGATATTTTTTGAGAGAGAAAGAGAGAGAGCACGAACCTAAGCCGAAGTCAAGATGGACACTTGGCCGACTGAGCCACTCAGGTACCCCTCTATATACTGATTTAAAATTTTTTTTTGTTTTATTTATTTTTGAGACCGAGACAGAGCACGAGTGGGGATGGGGCAGAGAGAGAGGAAGACACAGGATCCGAAGCAGGCTCCAGGCTCCGAGCTGTCAGCACAGAGCCCGAAGCGGGGCTCAAACCCACGAACCGTGAGATCGTGACCTGAGCTGAAGTCGGACGCTTAACCAACTGAGCCACCCAGGTGCCCCTCTATATACTGATTTTTAAATAACAGCAGGGAAAAGGAAAAGTACAAACAACACGGAAAAGGAAAAGGAAAGTACAAAGCATCTATCAATGAAAGGTAGATCAGTTTGCGGTCCAACCTTAATACAGAATACATTCACAACACCATTCAAAATATTTTTAGAAAAAACAACTCTTGGCTTGGGAACGCACGATAACGCATTAAGCGCTTGTGTTACAACCGGTTATTTGCGGCATGACCCCGATTTTGTAAAACCTGGAAAAAGTACAGAAGGAACTGCACCAAAATGTGAACAGCATTGACACGGGGTGGCTGATGTGCCCACAGTGCCGTTGAGAGTAGTTAACGCTGGGGGGGGGGGGCGGAGTTACAAACCTATAACATCTGCTTTATTCTTTTCTACTTTTTGGCCTGCTTCTCACAATGGATGTGGCTTGTTTTTGTGATTCAGAAACCAATTACCAAAATAGAGACACTGCCATCACCAAGAGAAGCCGGCTGACACTTCCATAACTGAGCATCCAACCTGAAAAGGAATCTCCTCGAGCTATCCTGAACAAACATTCGTGCACCTCCCTCTGGAGCCCCAACCTTGTGGCCATGAGCACACAGCTCTGGCAGACCAGGCCCGCACAGGAAATTAAACCCAAGTCATGAATACAGAAATGCTTTTCTTCTCAAATGCCATTTGACCTCTTCTATCAAACATTCTGCAGCATCTGGATGTGATCAAAGTTACATAATCAGGGGAAGTGGCCTGGAAAACACCTGGACGAGGCAGAGGGCTGACCCTCACCCAGGGGTGCCTGTGGCTGTGAGGTCTGGGTTCAAGAGGGACCGTCCCAAATGTGGAGCCCGATGCTGGGAATTTCACGCGAGGGGATGAGCCCTTCGTCAGGAAGGAAAGGGCCTCCCACTGCTTTCTGATTCAACAGGACGTCAGGAAATCCAAGGCAGTCTCTCGATTTTTCTCCCCAGTTCTTGCTCCATTCCACAAATTAATGGCCAAAACCCAAAGGGAAGT